GTGCTCAGCTTTATTTTTACTGTCCGATATCTCCAAACCGTCATCACCCCCTCATAACAGGAATGGGATTCCTGTTACGTGTGCTCTTCCGCAAATAGCTGTAGAGCAATTTCGGATTTTTAACGGCTTGATGAAGCAAATTACTCTCAAAATCCCGTCGCCTCTTGAAAATCAGGCTTTTCACCTTATTTCTTTAAACTTTATATTCGGTAAACGCTGCGATGTTGTTGTTTTTCCGAAATCTCTTCCACAATCTTCCTTTCTTATTGATCTCCTTTTTTAGCTCTCGTGTTAGCCACTGGGGGCGGTTGGATGTCCTAGGCTTTGATACGGGACAGTGGCTCTTCACTAGATGCAATAACCAACCCTTAAATAAATTCCAGTCCTCGTTCACGTTTCCGGAGAAGAGGACATCCCAGTCTATTTGTGATGCCTCAGCTCTCATTTGGCAAAAGTCCCCTTTCCATATATTCGGCCTCGTATCCTCTTTTTTATACGGTTCAGAATACAGCTTGTACTCCCAGAAAAGTACTGCATGATCACTTCGACCGAGCGGGGATAGGTAGTACACCTCGTCTATACTGTCAGGATCTTTGGTGAAGACGAGGTCCAGACAACTAGCCTGTTGCCCTCCACGTGCTCTAGTTGGAGATAGGACACGTTGCGTGAGAAGAGCTTCTAGGGTTGTCTTTAGTAGACGGTAATCGAAGGCATTCTTCGAGCACTTCGCATGCATATCGCTCCACTGAATGCAGGGTGCATTAAAATCCCCCATGAGAACTACGTCTGGTCGACTGGCGATCTCTTTTATGCCTGCCAGTAGACAAGTGTCTGAGTCGGGATCCCCCTGAGGGGGCCGGTAGATAGTTACGACTTCGAGGGACTGAGACCCCCGTGCCTTTATAGTCAGCCAAATTGCCTCTATGTCGTTAGAAATCTTGTCCGTCCTCTCACACACTGTTAAGTTGCTCTTGACATACATGGCAACTCCTCCACCCCGGCGGCCTCTCCTGTCTCTCCTAAACAATTGGTATCCTGTTAGTGCTACCTCGCAATCACCCACATTCTCTGACAGCCATGTTTCTGTTATTGCTATAACATCGGGAGGAGTATCGGCTACCTGTATTCTCAATTCATCAAGCTTGGAAAACAGACTCTGAGCATTAATGTAAAAGAATTTAAGTTTGTAGCATTCGACAGTACTTCGTTCGGTTTGTCTCGGGCTTGACAGTAAATCAGACGTTCCACGCATATATAGCTGGAAATAGAATTTGTGTATTACAGTATCTCCATTGGAGGTGGGATCTTCGACTGTGTCTGGCATATGAAGCACTTCTTTACAAAGCTGATGGGATATCCGTTAGCTCGAAATAACAGATACACGTCAGCAACCTCTTTGAAGGAAAACAGAACATTAGTAAATAAATTTTTGACATTAGTTCCTCAGGTAGTCATCAAATTTGAGTAAATGCCCACAAAACAATCACCATTAAGAACGTGCTGCAAAGAAAATGTTCATTCGGTATTAGCGCCAGTAAGCTGACGCAGTGTGCATCATTCCTTATTTGTTGGCCCTTGTCTCTTCCACTTTTACATCAGATTTCTGTAGACGACATCTAACTTAATCTTCCGATTGATGCTCGATTCATCGGAATGCATGACTTCTAGAAACCTGTGGCTTTTTTGGAGGGGCAAATTCCGACGATACGAGCTTAGTTCCATGTGAAGGTGTGTCCAGCATCAAGGATGTGCATGGCCAATTGAGACAGGCATTTTCGCATCTTAACTGTTGATAAATAAATAACTGAAATAATTTTATTATAGACCCATCAGGGTCCCTTCCTAGAAAGTAAAAAAGTTTTTATATGAGTTTTAGACGAGATAGGCAGAATATGTACAATGTGCAAATCATCGTTTTTGAACTAGTAGTCCGTTAAGAAAAATGATGAGCAAGGAGTGAGAAAAACTCCAACGTAGAATAAAAAAATGATTAAAATAACTTTTAAGGAGAGAAAACTGCCGCTCATAGAAGGATAGAAATGGGGGCAGGACCGGCCTGCATGTGTCACTGTATAAAGAATTCAAAACGGACATCGTCAGGGCAGAATTCATACGCCGGATGAGACTATTCGCGTCAAAATGGCGAGACGAGAGGAACCCAGGCGAAATCGGTCGCAGTCCGCTCGGAGCTCAGCCGAGAAGGGTGTAGAAAGATACGACCAAACTACTAGTCGACGGCGAATACAGAGGGCTCCACCGTAAGCGTCGACAGACCGCATGACGTTGAAATGAGGAGACGACACCAAGAACAGCGAAAGTCGCCGCTATGGGGGGAGTGATAGCAGTGGATTTAGTAATCAATTCAAAACAGCGGGTTGTAAAGATATAAGTGAGGGCTTCCACTTGATTTGCCACTAATCCACTGGAGGACCCTTCTCAAAGCTAAGAAAATGAGTGTTCGGAAATGTTCGTAGATGTGTCTAGAGGCAGGCTTTCCCGATTGGCTACATAATACAGCATCACTGGCAGCATACGGAATCATATAGACGACTTCTTTCCTATTGAAATGGCAACTCTATCCTTTAGGGTATACAAGATGAGTGCGTAAAGTAATTGTTGGCTTGTGCGCCAATTTTATTTGGTGGTTCCTCAGGTATCCGTTAACAAGTTCAGACACACTCCTAATGTAAGGAAAGATTAGTCAAGTATTTACTAAGGGCGCTTGGTTGGAACTATCAAGCTCCTTTGTTTTTATTTCTTGTTGTCTTGTGTATCGACAAACGAAATCTTTAGGGTAACCCTCCAGGGAAAATAGTTGAAGCAGATAATTTAACTAAATCTGGTAGCTTTTCTCGTTAGGGTAATGTGTTTTTACTCGACTGGCAGACTTTTAACAGGACTCCACTTGCGAGAGGGTGGTCTGTTGCTCTCAAAGTATAGAACTACTTCCGCATATGTTTTTTGTGATAAACGGAGTTTGTTCCTCCAGAAAAGGTGGAGAGTTCCTTGAAGCCATGCACTCTGATGGATCACGCATTAGTCAGCACATTCAGTTAGATGTAGTCAACAGAAATCTCAGGAAAATGTGGAAGAGACGAGAACCAATCAATACGGAATGATGTCCACTGCGGCAGCCAACTGATTCTAATACCAACTGGGTATTGACTTTTCAGCACGTTTTAAATGTTGGTTGTTTCGTGTGCACTTACTCAAGTCTGATGACGACCGGGGGGATCCAGCGTTGAGAGTGTACCTAAAAAGAACCAAAGAACGTTTTTCTTTCGAATTTTATTTCTTGGATGCTTGCCTTCCAATTCACATATGTGTATAATAGAGGGACGCTCGCCGATCGTTTTACGGAACTTACTAGTCCCGTTGTGCCTTAAAACTCTCTTTCGAGACCAACCATAGGCCATACAGCGGCGCATGGTATAGGCAGAATGGTATTACCGACAAAGACAAAGGAGACTGCATTTCTGACTTATAGGCCATAGTCAGCCTGTGGCTCGCTCTCGTGACCTTTTGGTTAAAAATCCAACGCTGATCGGTTTGCGCCCCTCTACCATTAGATATTCCCGATCGCACCCGACGTAACAACGAGCCCGTGACTCAATGGTCAGAGGCGGTTGACTTCTAACTAACAGGTGGTGGGATCGAACCCCAGGTGTTGCACATTTCGGGATTGGATATGACTGGCTGACGACGGCCAATAAGCCGAAAATGGCCATTTCAGTCTCCTTTTTCTTTGTTGGAAATATCATTCAACATATATACATCTCTGCAAGTCCTATCAATACTTTGCATTTTTTCGTCTATATGCAACTTTTTATACTTTTTTTGCATTTGGTTAATGTTCCAGTTTTAGAATATTTAATACATCTCCTTTGCTTGTTACAAATCGGCATTTCAAAAATGTGAACTTAAAATTTCCTCGAATAAACAAGACTGAACGTGTTTCTGTATTATGCAGATCACCAGGTAGAATGGATGAAATTCTCTATGTCAAAGGATTTTATTAAATGCTATAGATCAGCGCTGTTCATGTCGGCTACCGCGCTTGTGGGGCAAGACACTACTTTTGGAGTTCAGATCTTAGAAGTTAAGTTAAGCTGCTTGGAATTTAGGCCTCGTCGATCCACCGGGGTGCCTGTGGACTTCTCGATGCAGAGTTCGGGCTGGGTTATATTGTCCAGTCAATAGCAGGGGTTGAAAAACAAGTTTACCTTCTGTGGGCCGTCATCAGAAGCTTGGTCGAGATGGTGAGCACCTAAGCAATCGAGACGAGAGCGCGGAACTCGGAATGATACACTTCCTTGACGTAGTATATAGCAGGCCGAAGTCGTCCTTTCTGTTATATGTCAGTATAATCAGTCGAATGTGGAGTAGTAATCCATGATTTGACGAACTGTGTAGGGAATTAGCCTGTCTATGGCGCTGTCGCTACTTAAGCGCCCGAAGGTGTGGCCGTAACAATTTGATGGATCCAGAATGTAATCCCACAAAATTCCTATCTCTTTAACAACTGACTTGGCCGATTTCATATCCTTCAGAAGGTGCTGCTATTATATCTTTATCATACGTTGACAAGATTTTGAAATAGTCCGTGGGGTGTGGAGCAAGAAAAAATGCCATGAAACACAGTTCATTCCACTTAGTCCAACTGTTGATGGTGGGCTTATTCTCGAAATAATAGTCGATACTTGATGGAGGACACTGTAACAGAAGAAAAAATCATTACGACTACTCAGGCTCAAATGAATCTCTTGGTAACTTCCTTTCTTTCTTGACTAAAGAAAACTGTCCTGGGATCCTCACTCGCAATATAAATAACAGGATGCGTCTGATTCGGCGCCCTTGGGCCGCGTGTTTGTGTCGTGGTTGTACATCTCCTCAGTTGGTCCATGAATGATATTGAGGTCTACCTCTCGAAACAAGTTTACAGGCCCAATGAAACTGTTTACGGGTACATTTTTCATTTAGATATTTTTAGAGCTGTTTTTATGCGGATTATTTCCCCAACTGAAATCGACTCGTTGTCCATACAAATAGAATGCAGTCTTGCATGTAAGCTCATATTGGAGCCACTGTTATCTACATGTAGACAAATCCCTTAGCGTTAATGTCAACAAAGAATTTAGTCAGCCTCCCGTTGAAATTTTCTCATGGACTTGTATGCCACTATTTCGGAGTTTTAATCATTCTAATTAGCGCCCCCTAATGTTGGGTTCTTCGTCTTTCCATTCCGCCTTTCTTTGACGAATGAGTCAATAAGTAAGATTTCTTAAAAAGTATACTTCCCTAGGTAGTATCATGTTGTCTAGTTCGGCGGCAGCTGTTGGATCTTATCGGCTGACCGTCAACTATCAGGTCTCTGCTTTCGCATCCAGGGGCCTATGCCGGATCTTATACTGTCACTCGAGCTTCTATGTTTTCTCGTTGCCACCATCGCCCTCTGAGGAAAAGAAATTTGAAAAGTCTGTCGTATTTGCCAGTCAAAGGGATGAAATTCATGTATCTCTTACGCTTAAAAGCAAGGACCCTTGGTCGATCGTTCTTAAGGGCGGTCCGAAATCAAGTAATGGTTTCGAGAAGGAGACCGAAACCACCGAGGCATCAAGAGAGGCCTCCGACTTATTTGTCAATATAGCTCTCGAAAGGAATCAACATGAGCTTGGTGATCCGATAACTTTGGTATCGTCCTCGAAAGCAACGAAGACCTTACAGATCAATTCCACTAGTTTTAGGGTGAGTGCCGCCCTCTGCATTTGATTGTAAGATAAACCCTTGGTTATTCTTATTAGTAAGATTTCCTTTCTGGTTCGGATATCTATCTCTAGGAACTTCTTAAGCAAATATATAATGTTTTCGGCCCGAATAGCAACAATCGCGGGCTGCTTTATTAAGTCTCATTGCACTCCTGATCCGAATAAAGCTCCCTGCTGCAGTATCAGAAGGCGAAGATGCGATCACTGTAACAAGATGCTTATTGGCCTGACGTTTCCGGTTCTCACTCGAACCCACAATCAGAGACAGTCCCAGTCTCGAAAACCACTGCTGCGCAGGGCCATAGTTCTAAGAACTGGTCTCAACACAAAAAAGACTAAGCAATTAGACGCTCCAGTTGACGCGGCATTCGAAAGAGAAAATTGACCACATATTTTTGATGCACCGTACACATCGGCCCTCTTGTTATTCCATACTTACCCCTTATGAGGTTTTCGGTGATCTGCTAGTCATTCATGAGGGCGGGGACGATCGGTGACCATGTTGAAGGAGCTCTACTTTATACTGAATGTCTTATTGTAATTGTAGAATTCAGCTCACAGAAAGCCACGGCTATTTAAGTTCATTATCTAAATTGAGGGGAGCTGTTGTATGTTGCCCTAATTGGGGATTTAATAATTTTGTCGGTATACCACTAGCCAAGTCTGGCTGTAGTCTTTATTTCAACGGCTAACTCGAATACGGTCAACTTTGACTTAAAATTTTATGTTCGCGTCTAAAACCCTAACTAGTAGGTATCTTGCATGAGAGATTTATCTCTATGTTTTTGCAAAAGTATTGACCAAATCCAGGTACGCGTTCTTCCGCTCTCATTCTGCAGCATGGAGCAGATGCTGGGGGACTGGTAGTGCTTCTCTTTTATGAGTTCACATTCTAATTTCTTTTAAAATTAATAAATTGGCCTTGGGGTGAGTCTGGAGCATATGTCATTTCTGTCCTTTTTTGTAGGAGGGTTTGAAAAATTAACTGAGCACAGCCTTGTTTTACCCTTTTCGGAAATCCTCACACAGAAGCTGCCACTACAACACAACATGACAACGATGGGCGACCACGTCAAAACTTTCATTAAAAACCTGAAACCACTTGAAAGATAATGCGATCGGTCGTGTTGTTTTCAGATAAACCGAAGTAAACAATTCCTCGAGTGGGTAGTGGAGAAGCCTCTGCATAAGGAAGACTACTGAAGTGGTTTCATAACTCGTAAACCTCGAGTCAGCTTACACGCTGTAGCAAACTAAGTTTTTCTTGGGGTACCGTGGCTACCTGCAAATCGCCCTAGGAAAGGTCATTGCTTTCGCAGTGCATATTGTTTCGTCTTTATCCGCGCACTTCGTTCGTTTTCCGTTTCCCGTAAAAAGGCTTAAATAATCATCTCTTTACAGTTGCCTGGGGACATCCTTACTAAGGCCACAATATCCTAATGTTTACAATACCTTAGGAGCACCATTAGTTTCCAGCTGCATCCGACAAACGCCAAAAGTTGCCTGCCTAGTGGATCGATTGCTTTTCCCTACTTGTCGAGTTTCACGAGACCTATATTCCCAAAGAGCATTTCGGGCCGAAATATGTAAACTTTGTCCTTTCGGGTGCTTAATGTGCAACAGGTAATATGTTTCTATCCCTTTCACGAGAACGATGCAATATTTTTGTGCCCCTTTTAAGCCTACACTGCACCATTTACACACAACCCATTTATAATGTAATACCAAAATAATAGAAAACAGGGTATGCTACTTGCTCTACTTCCAACCTCCGCTTGCTTCGGGAAATAATCTCGGAAAATATCAACTGCCCATGTTTATCAGTTAAACTGTTTTATTGGTTAAGTATTCGTTTTTGAGGTTTCAGTGGTGTCGTGCTAGTGCGTTGACTTCTACTTATGACATTCATAAAACCTCCTTTTATGAGTGCGTTACATTTGAATTATACGCGTCAGATAACTGGTGTTATGTTGAATGGGAGGACACCGGCCTACTCGGACATAAAATGCCTGGAAATCCCCTACTCATATGCTTTTGGTCAGTAACGAGTCTTGGGCGACCTCGCTCATGACCAACAGGCTTGGCTAACTGCAGTAAGCGATGGCGGGGCGTTTTTAATACCGTTCGAGTATGGAAGTACCAAGGGACGTGTCAAGAATCAAATTCGAAATAACAGCGTCCAACCATTTCTACTTGTCCCCGCTTTAAATGCACATTCAGAACCTGCGTTAGTCTTGTGGGAGACCTTCGCATGCACCAAAGCATTGCTACCAGAAAAGACTTCGATACTGTCCCGAGGAATGTCCTGAACGCCGGCCGACTGTTTTGCGCATTTCTGCGCTGTAGACGCACATTCCGGGCCAGAATCGCTAGACGAACGTCCTCTTTACCACGACGCATCCAAATTTGCCTCAGACCACTTCATCACCACCGATATAATGCCTCAAACTCGGAATCCACGCAACCCCACGCCGTAGCCTGGTGCAACAACAAGTCATGCCAGCTCGCCCACTTTCGTGGTGTTAGCAGTATCAACAGGGGACTCAGTGGGTTGAACGTTTCATATGACAGCTGCTAAACCTGAGTTCGCGCACGCTGTTCCCCATTACCAACGTTTCTTCACTGTCTGCACGATTCGAATGTCCTTATTCGACCTGCACGACACCGAATAAACACCGGTCGGCAATTTCTTCTTATTCACAAACAGGTATGACGATCATACCATTCCAACTTGCCCCCACATTCAAGACGCCTGGGGTTACGCGCTCCCCTCAAAATGATCCATCAGGTGCTCTAGTTTGTCAGGCATTTTATCTATTTCAACATTGCTGTGTAAAGTCAAAGTACGAAAGACTTCAAAGTATGCATCCATCACGGGACACTCCCCGCCTCCTATGAGGTTCTACACGAGAGCCCTCATAAACTTTCACCTATATCCAAGCAGAGATGTAAAAGGAATAGGGACAAATATGCGTAGAATTACACCAGAAAATCTGGATTGGATCAAGACTGGCTGACAATGGTTACTGAGCCAGCGATGGCCCTCTTCAGTCTTTCCCTTGCTAGTATTCCTTTGGAATCACTATAGTCGCTGTATGATGGCTTGTAACGACTAAAAATTCAAGTCTCAAGGCAAGACGAAACGACAGTGACCCCTGGAAGCCTAAACATACCTACTAACTTTGCTGCAGTCCGCCGGCCACACGAGCGATTGGAGGGCATTGCAATGGCCTCCAGCGGACTCTAGTTGAGATATATACGGGCTTTCGAGTCTGACGAATTAGTTTCAAGCCATAGCGGTCCGACCTTCGGGCATAGATGAGCGTTGACCACATAGACCGGTTCATGGGGACATTACGTGGCGAATGTTCTAGGGGATTTAAATGCGCGCACTAGAAAAGCTGACCAACTCACCCGCCACGTTATCAGGAAGTTTTCAATGATGACCGACTTCTCGGTTTTGGTGGTTGTGACTAAACCCGTGATTTGGCTCCCTAGAAGGCATCTGGTGACTTGGTATTTGAATTGCAGAAGGGCGGCCGCACAGTAAGTGCTATCGACTGTCGTTCAGCCTGTAAAGCTCAGACCTGTAGCGAGCATAGCTCAGATCACACGCTCGTGAGAGCACGACTGCTCCTGTGTCCAGGACGTTTGTGAAAATCGCACCGCCCCAGAAGCCTGATGTTCACAAATTCCGATTTTATAAAATAGTCAGCCGTCCCTGTCAGCATGTCATCAATGAGCCTTCTTCACGGGAGAATTATTTCCAGCCACTCGGCATAAATAAGAAATGGACTTTATTCGGCAGGGCCATCGCGGGGGTGACGTGCACTCGGGAACTTCACATGAACTGCAGGTATGCCCTCGAAATTCATTAACCTCATCGATTCATACTCCCAGCTTAGCCAAACAAAAGTTAGGACGTATAGTTAGCCAGCGAATTCTTCGCCGGCGGCATTACCACGTCTGACAAGTCACTAAGGGAGACAATCTGTTCTCGGTTTTAGTCCTTGTTTCCCACAACACTGGCCTAAATCAGAACCGCGGGAAAACTGAAGTGCCCTTCGACTTCACACTACTTAAGATTATCCTCTCTTGGATGGCTCGAGACAGTGAGATGTTTTGTCTACCGACTAATCACCTTCTGGAGGTAACCCGCCGCACACATCTTGTTCTGCCAACCCTGCAATTATCCGTGGTCTCGCCACGAAGTTCGGTAAAAACGATGGTTCGAGGGCGAAACTTAGTCCTGAAACGCTGCCCGCCGGGTGGAGATTGGTGTGTTTGACAACTGGTGCCTCCGAGGTGTACGACAGCTTGCGTTTGCAGAATTTGCCCCGTGCGTAACAGTCGGTTACGGACACCTCCTGCCTTTGCTGCACTTAAGGGCTCGATTGGCGCGCACTTAGTAGACATGAGGAGGGACTCATCCATGACTTAGTGTCCCCGAATTTCTGTCCGAGTTGGAGTCGTCACAATCGTGATTAACTGGAGAAACAAAGAACTATGTCGAACTCCGGTTTTGAGATGAGGCTGAACTGGACGACGGTGGCTGAAGGTTAGTAGAGCCATCACAGGCCACGGGTCT